GAGTCATGCTGGTACCTATGCATCATGTTGCCCCAGCACATGGTGACAAATGAATGAATGAAGGGATGGAGTGAGGACTTGCAGTCCCTCCAGAGATACCCTTGTTCCCTCTCCCTTTGGAGCATCTTGGCTGAGGCGTCAGGGAAGCTGCCATCTGGTGAGGGTGAGGAGGTACTGGCCAGAGGAGGTGGAATGGGGGTGGGAAGAGTGTTCTTGGCAGAAGGAACAGCATGTGTGGAGGCCCAGCAGTGAGAGGGAGTTGGGGACAGCTGGGCCTTTTAGTTGGAATGAAGGGTAGCCTCTCGCGGTGTGTAGTAAGGGCTGAGAGTAGAGGGGCAGGGTACTGATGGTGGGAGAGGAGGGCTACTGAAGGGTGTAAGCAGCGTGGTTGGATCTGCATTGAGCTGCCTGCCTCTCTGGCTGCTGTGTGGAGAAAGGCCAGAGTAGGAGCCTCGGGATGGTGGTCTGGGCTGGGGTTAAGATCCAGAGCTAGATTCTACCCTCAAGACTCTGCTTTTGGAGCTTTCCCCCCATTTTTTAAAAGAAAATTACTGGGGACTTCTCTGGCCAGTCCAGTGGTTGAGAATCTGCCTTCCAAGGCAGGGGGTGTGGCTTCAATCCCTGGTTGGGGAATTAAGATACAACCACACCATACACAGCACAGCCAAAACAACTTTTTAAAACAAGACATAGGCAAAAGTGTAAAGACTACCATCCAAGTCCCCACTGATGCTCAAGACCCAGGACAGTTGCAACCGCCTGATGTCCCTGAGGGCCTCCCCTGTCCCAGCCCCAAGAGAGGGTCACCGCTGTCCTGAACTTGTATTTATCACTCCATGCATTTCTGTATGCTTTTTATAAAATACACGATCTAGCTTTGAATCTTTGCACTTTTGTATAAATGATATCCAACTGTTCTTCTGTAACTTGCTTGTTTTCTCAATATAATGATTAAACAAAAACATTTATGGTTGGAGATGGAGGAGGATGGGCTCCTTCAAAGATGTTTAAGGAGTGTTAGTAATAATCATAATGATAGCTGACACATAGCCCGTCATTTGCCAACTTGAAGGGCATTATATCTGTTAACATTTCTCACTGCAGGCTATGAGCTGTTATTTTTGTACCCTTTTTGCTGATGAGGAAACTGAGGCAGGGAGGCTTTCCATAACAAGGTCACTGGGCTGATGGAGCCTAGGTGTGAGCTGGGGCAGACTCACACAGGACTTAGGGGATAAGCCCATGTGGGAGGCAGGTGGCCTGACCCACACCACAGCCACCAAGCCTGCTCTCTGCCCTACTGCCCCTGGAGCTGGGCCCTGTGCTGTATGCGCGGAGGGGAACTGTGCAGAGGGTGGAGCCTTGACTGTGAAAACCAGCGCCTTCCCTCTGCCCTCATAGGGAAGGAGCAGACCCCACATGGGGACAAGGTGGCAAGGTCTCCCCCCACCCTCCCAGCCCCAGAGCTCCCCTACTTAGGCAGGTCCCTCTGTCCGACCCCCTCTGCGAAGCTGCCCCACCCCAGGGTCTGACACCACCTGCCAGATTGTCCCAGCCTTCTCACGGCCCCTGAAACCTCTTCTGCCGGCCCTTGAGGCAGGCAGGACAGCTGGCACTGTACCCATTTGGCAGATCGACAAACTGAGACCCAGACTGTCAGGGCAAGACCAAAGAAGAAGAGGTTCTGGAGTCAGAAGGGGCTAAACTGGGGTCCTGGCTCTGCGACTGGGCAGTGTGTGACCTCAGGCAGATGACTTCACCTCTCTGAGCCTCTGCTCTCTCATCTGAAAAGCAGAGCTCCTTAATTCCCCAGATAGTTGAGAGGGCTTGCGGAATGTTTGCACAGTACTTCCGGAGTGCAGGACTTGGCAGGCTGTGCGCGGCAGTGAGGACAGCTGCCTCTGTTAGCATCTTGTTACCGAGTGCTAATGAGCCCAGCACGTTAGCTGAGTTGGACCGGAACCCGGGGCTCTGGCTCCAGGCCCCACATACTTCCACCAAACCCCACCCCGGACTCCAAGCACGACAAGTGTGGGTTTCAAGCCCCCATCAGGACCCGCGTGGGGTGATGGCGTCGTCTCCCCACCATCTTGGGCTGGGGGCCCACTTGGCGTCAGGCCCAGAGCCCACGCATCACAGCCTGTGCCTGCAACAGATGGGTAAGTGGGGGGAGTCATGTTCTTCTGATGCAGACATCGGGGTGGGGAGGGGGCACCCGGGATCTGGTGAGCCCACCTCCTCCCTGGCCTTCCTGCTGGTGGCAGAGCTGGCGGCTCTGACAAAAGGACAGCTTGTGTGCCCACCTCCCTCCGCCTGTGCCGTGCCTCCTCGCAACGGCGTCTGTGTAAATAGCACTTGACGTCCTTGTTCCTTCCTGGCGGGTCTTTCTCCCTCTGAGGGAGGAGGACACTTTGCAGGAGAGAGAAGGCTTCGGCTCCAGAGGAGTCAGCTTTGCTCAGCCCCTCAAAAGGACTTCTGCCTCGGTTTCCCCATCTGTGAAATGGGGGCACTAAGAGTGCCAACCAAAATGAGTGGCTATGAGGATTCATGAATAAATACCTGGAAAGTGCCAAGGGGGGGGCCTGGCGCACTCTCCTTCAGAAATGCCCAGGTAGGCCCAGTGGATAGAGGGTCAGTGAGGCTAGAAGGGGGCCCATTCTAGGAGACCTGGCCCCGGCCCTTCCAGTGCTGATGTAGATGGCACTTCGTGAGGTAATTGCCTCAGCCTAAGGTTTCCTGGAAGTCCCACTGCCTCAGATGCAGTGGGTGGCTGGCCCTGTCGCTCCATGAGCTGTCTGTGGTCAAGGAAAGATTCTGGAGGTAGCAAGCTCGCCGTCACTTGATGTATTCAGGCCTCACAGTTTGCATTGTTTTCTCTTTGGCCACACCGCACAGTGTACAGGCTCTTCATTCCCTGACCAGGGATCGAGCCCAGGCCCCCTGAAGTGGAAGCATGGGGTCTTAGACTACTGGACTGCCAGGGAAGTCCCATGCCTTCTGCTTTTACAGTCCACAAGGACCTGTTACTTCCACTGTTTCATTCCCACATCTGTCTTGCGGATGGGCAGAGTGGGGCCGGTTGTCCCTATTTTACAGAAGGGGAAACTGAAGCTTTGTGTTTAGTCAGCACCAGAGTCAGGATTCGTGGGCACCTGGGGAATTCCAAGGAGCCCTCCAGATAGTGGACAGTGAAGATTCGTGTAATAAGGTAGGGCCATGTGTACTGAGCAGTTCATCCATCCATGCCCCTGGGCTCCCCACCTGGTGGACCAAGCAGATGTCTGCATAGGTGGATGGCTGTGCCCTCGCACGTAGGACACCGTGGGGGATACAGGTGGCCACACCGGCTCAAGCTGGAGCTCCCGCTATGCACCATCTTTTGATCCTGACCACAGGCCTGCAAGTCCAACGTTCCAAGTCCCCACTTTATAGAGGAGGAGAAATGACCCCAGAGAGATGAACCCACCTGCCCCCGCTCTCAGGGTGCAGCGGCGGAACCCAGAGCCTGGTCCCGTCACTGTCTGCGGTGGCAGCTCCCTTCTCTCTGCTGCTGAGTGTGGCAGTGACCCATTGCCTGCACTGCCCTCTCCACCCCCAGCACTTTGAAGCAGGGGACACATTTATCCTCTCATCACAGCGCTAGGAGAAAAAAAAAAAAAGAGCTCAGAGAGGTTAAGGGACTTGCCCAGTGTCACACAGCAAATGACTGACGAGGTCAGGGCTGGGCCAGTGAAGCTGAGAGGGGTCTCGTGTGCTTGCCCCTAAGCTGTGGGCCATCCCTGTAGGCACAGGGTGCTCAGGAATGCGTGGTTGTGCTCTTGGTTTTCTGTTTGGCCCACAGTAGGTGCTCAGTGAATATTTGCTCGGTGAAGGAATCGTGAGAATTCAATGAGCTCAGATCTGGGGCTCAGCCTGTGTTCGGGGCCCAGGGCAGGTGAAGTGGGAACCAGCAGAGCCCCGGGACAGTGAGGAAGCATCAGGCTGTCAGTAGGGAGCATGGAGGAGGGGAGAGCGGGCAGAACTGGTCTAATTTGGCTCCTAGAAGCTCAATGAATTATTCATTTCCTACTCATCTTCCCATGACGTGTCTACCAGAGACTGTCCCCTCCCAGAATCAGGACTTGTGGCCTCAGCTGCCTTCCTCTACCCTAGAAGGGGTTTCCTCCAGCAGGGGAGGGGAAAGGAAAGACCCCCTGCCTTCTGTCCCAATTCTCCTTCCCGTGGGGGTCTTAAGACAGACCAAAGGAGGACTCTAAGACACTTTATCCTCATCCTGGGTGGGAGGGGGTGTCTGAGACCACCTTCGAACACCCTGCTCTAGACAGCAGAGTAGACAGGCGCTGTTCACAGGCATTTACCACCTAATCATCCCCACAACCCTTTAAATAGTTACAGTTGTGCTATTGCCAGAGAGGAAGCAAGGGTTCAGAGAGATGGGTGCATTTGCCTCAAGCCTCACAGCAGATTGGTTCTCAAGCTGGATTTGAGTCCTGGGCTGCCTGCCTCTGGAGTCTGCTATCTTAACCACCCATCACAGCAGCACTGGAGCCCTATCCCAGTGCCCCTGGTTTGTGCCCCTGGGTCTGCCCGGCACCCACACAGAGTCTTGCACCATCTGGGAAAAGTTTGGCATGTAAATAAGTGATGATCAGGACAGCCCACCTCTTCACGGACCCATCAGGGTGAAGCCTTCCCGTGATGAAGGGCTCAGCAGTGGCTTTCAACCCCAACTGCACATCGGGCCCTCTGGGGGACTTTTGCAGCTCTCCACTGCTGGCCCCCAGAGGCTGAGATGTCCTGAGGACAGGAGCCAGCCTGCTGTTGGACCCCCAGTGCACATTCACTGCCTGAAGCAGGCATTGCCATCCCATTATACATATGGGGAAGCTGAGGCTCAACGGGGGTCACTCAAGCAGGGGCAGTGGGCATCTCTGGGACTTTGTCTCCTTCCATCCTCCTCCTGACTGACTTCGAAGGTCCCTTTCTCTGTCCATGAGCAGCAAGAGCTCCCAGCCCGGGTGAACCTCTCGGCCGCCCCAGCCCCTGCGCCTGTGATGCCCACCACCCTGCACTCCAAGATGGACGAGCTGGAGGGGCAGTTGCTGGCCAAGGTGCTGGCGCTGGAGAAGGAACGTGTGGCCCTCGGTCACAGCAGCCAGCAGCAGCGACAGGAGGTGGAGAAGGAGCTGGATGCCCTGCAGGACCGTGTAGCCGAACTGGAGCATGGTGGGTCCTAGGCCCCACAGAAGGCATGGTGGGTGAGGGCATCCTTGGTCCTTGGATGGTCCTCAAGGTGGCAGATTCACTCAGAAAAAGTTTCCCAGAGGTTAAAGCTAAATAGGGTGGTGGGGAAGAGGCTGTGAAACAAAAAGAATGATTGGGGTGTTTCGTTACCATTACCAGTTAGCATTTTCTGGCACATTTTCACCCACTATATTCTGGGAGTGGGCTAACTAATTGATATGTCAGCTGGTTTACTCTTCACAGACCATACAGGGGTGGTTCTGTGTATTATTCCCTAATAATAAATAATGCTATAAATAAATAAATAAAATTTATAAATATATATATTCATATTTGTTTTATTATAATTATTAAAATTATTATATTTATAAATAAGAGTATAAAATATTTATAAATAAATAAATAAGGGAAATAAGGCTCAGAGAGCTCAAGTGACTTGCCCAAGGTCACACAGCCAGTAAGTGGTGAATCTAGACCTTAAATCAGGTCTGACTCTAAAGTCCATGCTCTTAACCACCCTCAAGAGTACCTTTGCCATCAGAATTTTGTCATTTGTTTAACACGTGGGCCTGGCACCACAAGGGTCAAAAAATCATGACATGTTGGACATTGTATAGGTGTGAGCATGAGGACACCTGGCTCCTCAGTCCACAGCTGTCACCGGCTTGCTCCGTGACCTTGAAAGTTCACTTCCTCTCCCCAGGCCTCATTTTCCTCATCTGAAAAATAGGAGTTTAGAACTCATGAACTCTCAGGGAGCTTTCATCTTTTAAACTTGGTGAGAACCGCCCTTGAGGCTTATAGACAAGGTGAGGTTACCAGGGGGCTAGTCGCCCTCATCCTGGAGTATGACCTGCCCACCACCCCCATCCGTGTCCGCTGACCCCCACCGTATTCACCTTGCTCACCCCGCTCAGGGTCCTCAGCCTACAGTCCCCCAGATGCCTTCAAGATCAGCATTCCCGTCCGCAACAACTACATGTACGCCCGCGTGCGGAAGGCACTGCCCGAGCTCTACGCCTTCACCGTCTGCATGTGGCTGCGCTCCAGGTCTGGCGGCATTGGCCAGGGCACCCCCTTCTCCTATTCGGTTCCCGGGCAGGCCAACGAGGTTGTGCTGCTGGAGGCGGGCCACGACCCCATGGAGCTGCTGATCAATGACAAGGTGAGCGCGGGCGGGGCTGAGCCGGAGGGATCGGGATGAGGCAGGGGGGACCCTTCCGGGAGCATTTGCACTGCGCTAGTCCCAGACGGGCGGGCGGTTTCCATTCTCCTGCTCAGCAGAATCAGCACGCGTGAAATGCCTCCAAGATGGACGAACCCATGCCAGGCTGGGTTCTGGGAATTCAAGATAAGCCAGACCTGGGGCTGATAGGATAAGAGCTCCTATCCAAGAGAGGCTGTCAGTGGTGTGCCGTTTACAGAGGAGCATGTGAGGATCACAGAGATTAAGAGACTTCCCCAGCAACCTGACTGTGGGCGCAGGACTGGAAGTGCTTCCTACAGCAGGGTACCTATAGGGCCCCCAGGGCCCTGCTCATTCTCCTGAATGAAGAGAGAAGCAAATGAGGTCCTAGGACCTCTCTGGGGAGGGAGGTGGAAGGAAGGGCAGAAGTGCTCGTGGACTCCTTGTCCCCCTCCCCCCTGCAGTCAGCCCCATGCCCCTCCCCTCACGTGGCGAGTAGGCTTGTGCCATGGTCAAGCTCTGGCCTGAATGCTGGATTTGAATCCTCGTTCTGCCACTAACCCACTGTGTGACCTTCGACTAGTCACTTACCCTCCCTGTGCCTCAGTTTGCTCATCTGTAAAGCAAGAATAATAATAACCTCAACTGTACATAGTTATGGTAAGAATTAAATGGCTTAAATACATGTAAAGGGCTTTGAGCAGAACCTGGCATTTAACAAACTTTGATAAATGTGCCCCATTTTTATTATTCCAAGTCCCGTGCTAGTATTTTACCCATATTATCATCCTTGACCCAACAGCCCCAGGAAGTAGACACCCTATTATCACCATTTTTCAGATGGAAAAGCTGAGATTCAGTGAAGGCAAATAATGCATCCTGACCACAAAGCTGGTGAAGGGGTGATGATGTGATTTGGGGGTCTTGGGTTCCACTGTTCTGCTCTTGGGTCACTGATCTTCCCCATGCCCAGGACTCCCACCCCATCACCACTCTCCCAGGAGTGGACAGGGCAGGACAAGCTGGGGAGACAGGGGGAGTGATGTAGCAGGGGCATGGTGGTTAAGGGGGAAGCAAGGTGAGCATCTTATCATGCCATTCCCCGCAGATATCTTCCCCAGCCTGACATATTGCTTTGGGTCTTGATGGCATGCTTGTCTTTTGAGATGCCCTGGGAAATGCAGAGAACATATACTGCACCCACTTGTGACCAGCCCACAGCCACATAGAGCTGCTGGGAGTGGCTGACACCCAGCAGAACCCTGCTCAGCAGGGGGTGCCTTTCATGGGTGTCCTGGAGGAGGAGGAAAGAGATAAGCTCACAGGACAGTGAATTTCCCTTGTGGCCCAGTACACACTTACCCTCTAAGTCCATCAGAGGGTAGCTGGGTGACATCTAGATCGTGCTACCCAGTTCCCCTTCATAACCCCCCTGGCTGCCATCCTTGGCTCTGCCCATGGTAGCAGTCGGTTCTAGTATAATAGAAGGAATTCAGCACCCTGGACAGGGCACAAGGCAACCCAATTTCCTGAAATTCTGGTGCCTTTTGAGTACCAGCCTCACAAGCTACTCACAGTTCTCCTTTTATTCCAGTCTCTAATCCTTTGCCCCTGCTGTGCAAACCGACCACCCGCCCCCCACCTTGGTTGGGGGGCCTTACAGTGGAATTTCCAGAGTTCATTATACTTCCAGATGTGTTTGGATTTCACATCTTCTGTTCCCACACTCCTCTCTGCCTCTGGGCCTTCACGGCCTCTGCGTCTCCCACATGGCCCCTACGTTACTCTGTCTTGTGATATTGTCCCTGAAGTCCTCCCCTCCTGTGCAGACTCAGCTCATTTTAGGACTGGATCCATATCCCCCGGTGTCCAGAACAAGGCCTGGCATCAAGTAGGCCTCAGAGAATATTGTAATAAATTGTGATCTCAGAGAACTAGGAGATGAAAGAGCCCTTTGAGAGCCCCAAATCCACAAGCAGCAAGTACCTTTCATCTCACAGGCCAACTCCAATCAATCAGCAGTGCCTTCCAAGAGCACTGTGATGAGAAAGATTCCGAGGTTGAGTCTAGGCTCATGATTGATTAGCCATGTCTGCCTTGGGTGGAGTAGGAGGCAGAGGTGGCTGCATATTTACCATCCTTTGCCCAAGCCCCTGACTTTATGGATGAGACTGAGGCCCAGGGGGGAAAGAGCAACCTCCCCAGGGTCCCACAGGGTGTTGATTGGCAGCGCTTGGCCTCTGAGTCCAAGGCTTGTTCCATCATTCCAGCACTTCTTGATCCCAGCTGTGTGCCGGGCACTATGTGAGCTATTCAGGGAAGGGAGGCTTGTGAGATACAACTCCCACCCTGCATGACCTTACAGGCCTGTCAGAGTGAATAAACTACCTAGAAACAACCGAAAACCAATACTGAGTAATCCCTTGTGATCTGAGTGAAGTGCCTAATGATATTGCTACATTGTGGAAAGACACTGGGCTGGGAGGATAGGGAGGGTCAGACCTTGGGTCAGCCCCTGGAAGGAGGGACACTGGTCTCCCCATCCCTCATCCCACTGCTCCAGCCTTGGGGCTTGTGGCACCTCTGACCCAGGGCTGGGGGACCTGTTTCCAGGTGGCCCAGCTACCCCTGAGCCTGAAGGACAATGGCTGGCACCACATCTGCATCGCCTGGACCACCAGGGATGGCCTGTGGTCTGCCTACCAGGATGGGGACCTGCGGGGCTCTGGCGAGAACCTGGCTGCCTGGCACCCCATCAAGCCTCATGGGATCCTTATCCTGGGCCAGGAGCAGGTAAGGATCAGGGTGGGATGCAGCTAGATATCCCACCCACCAAGGGCGCCTCAGGAGGAGGGGTAGGCGGAGTGTCCCTGAGAGCACAGAAGTGAGCGCTCAGTCTGACCCAGCCATTCTGCAGATAGGCAGACTGAGTGAGACCGGCCCAAGGGGCTAGAACCTTGGGGCGGGGCTAGAACCTTGGGGCGGGGCTAGAACCTGGAGGGGGCGGGGCTTCAGCAGGGACAGAGTTTTGACTTTCTGAGCACCTACTTATCTTTTCTGCTCCCTCACTCCATGTCTTTCTTGTTTCTTTCTGCTCTTTTGGTCCAGGATACCCTAGGCGGCCGGTTTGATGCCACCCAGGCCTTCGTGGGTGACATTGCCCAGTTTAACCTCTGGGACCACGCCCTGACACCAGCCCAAGTCCTGGGCATTGCCAACTGTACGGGGCCACTGCTGGGCAACATTCTCCCATGGGAGGACAAGCTAGTGGAGGCCTTTGGGGGTGCAACGAAGGCCGCCTTTGATGTCTGCAAGGGCAGGGCCAAGGCATGAGGGGCCACCTCGTGGGGGAGCCCCTCCCTTGCCTGCCAATTCGGGGAACTTCCGGGGCAGGAGAGCATTCCCTCCTTAGCCTACTCACACACGCAGTGGTCTCCTTTTTCACCCCACTCCTCCTGTTTTGCCATGCCTCCCATTTCCCCCACCTGTACCCACACCTCCAGAACGCCCTGCCCTTGATGTCTGTCCTCTGATCCCACTTGAATGGGGACAAGCAGCTTGAGTCAAGAGGTCAAGCCTGGGGTGAGTCCAGGGCCTGGCAGGGAGTGCATCGCAGTGCCCATGGCTCTTCCGCCACCACTGGCGTTAGAGTGGAGCCGTCTCATCCTGTGTCCCCTCGCCCATCAACCACAGTTGATTCCACTGATCTCATAGCACCATCCATGGGGCTGTGTATGGGCAAAGGGCTCACTGTCTCAGTGGCAGAGGTGGTTATCTGTCCCCTTTCTTCCATGAGGCAGGTGTGCCCCCTTCCTCTTCAAGGCCATCACAGGCTGTGGAGCTGTCCCCCAGCTGAGAGGAAATGACAGAACCACACAGGAGACTCAGACTCACCCGCTTCCATCTTTCTACCAGCTGCCAGTCACGGGCAGGGGAAATCTTGATGTAGCTTCTCCCCCCCAATCCCCGCCCCCACCTGCACCCTTTCTTCCTCCTCTTTCCTTGTTTCTTTGTGTGCTGAATGGTTGCTTTGAATGTTGGTTCCATGCCTGGCCCAGCCCCACCTCAATTTCCAGGACATTCCCTTCCCAGCTCCAGCCTGAAGGGTTGGGGACCAAGATCGCAGGAGGCCCACCCATGGCTGCGTCCACTGGTATGGTCACCTTGCCCCTTCTGTGACCAGAACAAGGCCTGGACCACTTCAGCCTGGGCTGGGGACAGCGTGGGACAGAGGGGACAGCGTGGGACAGAGGGGACAGCGTGGGACAGAGGGGACAGCGTGGGACAGAGGGGACAGCGTGGGACAGAGGCATGTGCCCCAGGAGACCCAGGCTCTGGCAGAGCCACAGTACCGACCCACTCTGCATGTCCCTGCAGCCTTTGGGGAAGAAAGAAGCGGAGAGGGCAGGGAGAAGCATGGAGCGGTGTGCAGGGCTCTGGATGAGAAGGCGCCCCTGGTTCCTGGTCTTCTCTGCTGCCAGCCTACTGTGTAGTCTGCTGTCAGTCCCTGTCCTCTCCTGGCTGGCTGTCCTCATTTGCGAGCTTTGGTCATTTCTGAGAGCTCTCCAGATCAAAAGTGGGATGGTCTATGATTCCAGGTGGATAGGGTGGGACAAGCCTGAGAACTTACCTAGGGGTCAAGGAGCATAGCAGGGGCAGGCCCTGGGGCTGGGCAGCAGATGGGATCTGGCTAGGCACGGGTCAGGGTCAGCAGCTGGCTCCAGAGAGTCAAGGGCAAGGGGCAAGGGTCAAAGCAGACCAACCTCATACACAGATTGTTAAGGTCAGCTCTTCTGGATCACCCCCAGCCTGGCACCCTTGCCCATCTGAGTGTTTCAAAGGGCTGGTGGCTTACCTGGGCCCTACCCTTGAGTCCCCACTGGCTCCCCCAAGACAATGGAAGAATATCAAAATCTGAGAAAAGCCGCCCAGTCTGACCTCTTATTGCTCATATGAGGAGGAGCTCAGAGAGGGCAAGTGACTTGCACAGGGTCACACAGCTCAATGGAGCCGAGCCAGGACTAGAACCCAGTGCTCTTTCCCCCACACCATACTTCTTGCCCGTGAGAGTCTTTTGAGTCCAGCCTAAACCTAAGAGGATTGACATTTGAGGGGTCAGAATGCTTTCCAACATTCCAACAATGCTTTCCAACCCTGGGCCACTTTCCTGTATGAAACATACAGACATCTTGGCATTCCCACCCCTGATCCCTGGAAGGTAGGGTGGGAGAGGTGTGATCTCCAGGCACTCTGGCAGGAATGGAGAGCTGAGAACACTGGGGTCCCTCCCCACTCACCTACCGGGTGTCTGGACAGCTGTTGGTTACTTAAGTCAGACGGGCACTGGTGGCTTTTTGTTCCTTTGGTTCCCTGTCTCTGCTCCCCACATCCACTTAGCCTGAGGCATGATGCCTGAGCTACAGACTGTGGGGCGCAGGGCCATGGAGGCTTTTCCTAGACTTGTTGCTTCCAGCCCCCGGATCCTCGTTTCCATTTCAAGAGTGCAAATAGACCATTCAGCACTTCCAGCCCAACTCCCCCTAGAAGGAGGGATGGCGCGCTTTAGCCAGAACCTGCCGAGATCTAGTTGCCCTGGTAACAGCCAATGACATCGGCCCCAGTGCTGGGTCAAGCATCTCATAATGACATATGCTGTTGCTGGGGTGACGGTGAAATTTGGTACTTAGATTTCAGGAACACTGGGCTTTATTGGGTTTCTGTTATTGTCTTTGAGGGAGCAGCTTTTGTGGAGGCCTTGGAGGGAAAGAAAGAATCTTAGGAAGGAGGTGATAGAACTTGTTTGGTCACTCGAGCCCACCCAGAAACATCATCCCAAGTCCTTTATGCTTTGTCATGGTGATCGTGAAACTTCTGACCTGTGTTGAATCACCCTGGTCAGCCCTCCAGAGGGAACAGGAACAAAACCAGAGATGTTGTCGTGTAGGCTCTGAGTCTGGGCCATTGGTGAGTGGCCTGGGTCCCTATTCCCATTCCAGAATGATGAATGTCCCAAGTCCCCACTCCTCCGTCTACTGATTATCCTTCTTTGCTGAATGCCTGTTGTTTGGACTCCAGCTTTGATCTTCAGCTACTCCCGGGCATGCCAAAAAGATGGGGAGGAGCAGAGGTGCTCAGCTGTGTCCTCGAGCTACTCCCAGCTGAAAATGAGGCTGGAACCATGTCTGTTACACCCTTGTAAACTTGCCATGCTGGGCACCTCACAGGGATCAACTCATTCACCCTCACAACAGTTCTAAGTAGGACTGTTCTCAGCCCCATTGTACAAGTAGAGAAATGGAGACCCAGAGAAGTTAAGTAATCTGCCCATTGTCAATCAGCCCACAAGTGATGGAACCCAGAGTTCAAAGTTGGTGACATCCAAGGCCCACCCTTCAGCCTGAGGGGACAGGTGCTGCCATTGCCTGTGGAGTGGGATTTGGCCATCCACTGCTCCTGAGCCTGTTCACCCTGACCCAGAGGAACACAAAGGTGAGGGGTGGACTGGCCCCTGGGCCAGGGTCCCCTTGGGTGAGGCCAAGGGAGGGTTCTCAGCCCCTTCAGGGAGCTTGTCCCTGTGCGGGGTGCTCACAGCCTAGACCTTCTCTCATTGGCTGGAGTTTCCAGGAGAGCTGAAAAGGGAGAGGAAGCTGGGTGTCTCCCAAGAGTCCCAGGCTGCAAAGGGGAGAGAGCTGCCCCTTCCCAAACCCCTGCTTTGGGCCCAGCCCTGCACCAGGTGCTTCAGAGCTCTTATCTGCCAGATTTTCCCACCTTGTGGCACATGGTGCCCCTTAACCAACATCCCAAGAGGCCGATCACCTTGCCACATCTGTGCAAGACCTGGGACCACAGGTGTGGACAGGAAGGGCTCCGAAGCCCTCTTTTTACAGATGAAGATGCCAGGGCCCAGGGAGGATGAGCAGTCTTCGTGGCCGCCCAGCTGGGACACTGGGAGACCTGAGCCCAGCTTTCTGACTCTGTATTCAGTGCTCACTCCATGATGCAGTGGTCCTAGCCCCCCTGAAATGGATCCCCTCTTTACTATGTTTCCCAGCATCCTTGCTCTGAGCAAACTGGGGAAGGGACACCGCTCCCCCCTCCCCAAAAGATGGAATCATTCTCTTCACCATCTTTGTCCCAACTGCCTGCCACTCCAAACCCCACCCCCTGGCCCCTGACCCTGCTGGGTTGGGGAGGGGCTCATGTGTGCCCAGGCTGAGCAATGAATGAGCATGTCAAGCTGTCAGACACTGTGAAATTAGTGCATCCTACTGGCAACCTGCCTCCCCCACCCCGCCTGATTTTGTACATAAAGTGACATGAGATGCAACATATGCGTGTATGTGTGTGTGTGCGCGCGCGTGTGTGTATGCTATGTTATGGTTTTTGTTACTTTTTGTTTTTGTAAATTTGAATGTCCAAAATAAACGTGATGTTTACTCTGAGGCTCTTCTTGCAAAGGTGGGGCTACCCTGGGGGTGCTGGGCAGGAATGAAGTGGCTACTACTTGGAGCAGGGCAGTAGGCAAAGACAGAGGGGGTGCCACCTCACTATGCCAAAGCCTCACCCAGCCCCACCTGTGCCCCCCTAACCTGACAGGCTCTGCCAGGTCCCAGGGGAGACACACCCCTGTTTCCAGGATTTCTGCAGGAAGAATGTAAAGAACACGGGTCCCACATGGAAAGTGTCCCAGTTCTGATAACTGGGCTTTGGCCTCATTCCTAACACCTCATCCCCACCTCGTGCCCCAGTTATGGGATCCCAGGTTCCTGACTTGTTCCCTGAGACCCAATCTGCCTGAATTACTTTCCTGGGTCCCCAGAGCATCCCTTGCGGCTCCTGGGGAGATGGGGTGGTGGAGTGGGAGGAGCCCTGTTGTATTTCAACCTGTCCCCTCCTCACGGTCTACCTGGACTCCTGTGACTCGCATCAGAGACTAGACTGACTCTCAGCGTCAAGGTCTGCTACCCCCAGCCACCCCTCCAGGGCTCAGCCCACCCCAAGAGGTCCTGACCTGGGCCCCAGCCCTCTCTGTGCAGACCAGTGCAGGGGCGCAGCCTCCACCCTCCTGCCCCATCACTATTGTCACTGCTCCTAGTTAGACCTTGTCCTCAGATGGCCCCTGGGAAATGCCAGGGGGCCAGTCTGGAGTTACAGGAAGTCACACCAGCAGAACAGCCTTCTCAGGCTTTTCCAAAGTTTCCCAAACTTCCAATAAGAGGAGTTCACCCCCATGAAGCAAGGGGTATAGCTGGAAGCAGCACTTCAAACAGGAAAACCATGTTTGAAGTCCACTGAGTAACCTGAAAAACTCCTGTGCTTTCTGCATTCTACTCCAGAACGAATCCAGATTTGTTTTAAAACATTGCTTTTCATTACTTAGTGCTGAGCAAAATGAAGCTGCAGGCAGATTTGCTTTGTTTATCCTCTCTTCCACCAATTTACTTACCACACCCTCTTTCCCTCTGTCCCACTCAGCTGGCACCATCCAACCACGGTTAAATCCCGCTGTCTACCTGCTTCCTGCCGGCACCTGCACATCTGAATGCTGATGTGGAAAAGCACAGGGTTCTGATGTGTGCTGACTCTCATTTTACATTCATGGTCAGAGGTCTCCAAGGGGCGTTTCTTCCTTTCCAGCTAGTAAATTCTCTCTGGAGGAAGATAGCATCATCCAAACTCAAGTATTTTTGCCACACGAGGTTTGGCAGTCCATAAGAAATGATCAGACATACCTAGGGACAAAACTGAATGACTGGAAATCAAGAGTGAAAAAAAAATTTTTAAGGGCTAATAGCCCTACACATGTGATAAAATTGCATGGAAGTAAATAAATAGGCTATATTCAAGACAGACACGTATGCACACATCCACACACATCCACATGAGTACAAGGAAAGCTGAAGAAACTGAAATAATATTGTATCAATGTATCTTGGTAATAAAACTGTATTATAGCTTTGCAAGATGTTACCACTAATGGTAACTAGAAAGGGAACATAAGCTCTCTCTATTATTTCTTACAATTTAATGTGAATCTATAATTGTCTCAAAATTAAAAGTCTAATTTTTAAAAATCTCTATAGGAGATTCATATAGTGGAGTTATGAGACCCAGGCTTTGAAAATAATCATGGTTAATATATCTAAGAATTCAGATAACAAATAGAATTTCGAAAGAGAATTGTAAACTAAAAAATAATCAAATGAAAACTCCAGAACTGAAAGATACATTAACTGATCTTATGAGCTTAATACACAGATCTAACAGCAGATCAAACACAGCTGAAGAAGGAATTGTGCACTCCATCAGAGATCTCAAAAGAAATAGTCCTTAATGAAGACTGAGGGGGAAGAACAGAAAGTACAGGGCGGGGAAAGCATAAGATTCATAGGGAACATAATGAAAATCTCTAATATGAGGAGCTCCAGAAAGGGAGGGAGCAAATAGGGCAGAAATCAAATTTGAATAGACAATGTTTCCAAGGTACGCAGTTTCCATCCCTAGTGCAGGAACATTCCACACGCCATGGGGCAGCTAAGCCTTTGCGCCAGTTACTCAAGGCCACGCGCCCTAGAGCCCGTCCTCTGCAACAAGAGAAGCCGCTGCAACGACAAACCTGCGCAGCAACTAGAGACGGCCTCCCACTCACCGTAACTAGAGAAAGCCCGCACACAGCAATGAAGACCCAGCACAGCCAAAATAAATCAATAGAATCTCAGGGAACTTAGAGGGTGAGAAACACAAAGAAAACCGGAACTGGGACTTTGATAGTGAAACAGCTGTAAATCAAAGACAAATTCTTAAAAGGTCCCAGAGAAAAAAGATACATGTCACTGTTCCAAGGAGCAGTGACCAGAGCAACAGCTAACTTCTCAAGAGAAAGGATGAACAAAGGAAGTCAATAAAATGCTGAAAGGAAGTAATTGCCACCCTAGAATTTCACATTCATTGAAGACCCTTCAAAAATGAAGATGACATTGGGAATTCCCCGGCAGTCCAGTGGTTAGGACTCTGCGCTGTCACTGCTGGGGCTTGGGTTCAATCACTGGCCGAGGAACTAAGATCCCACAAGAAAGATGATAAAAAGATGTTTTCAGACACATGCACAAAAAAACAGAATATTTATCACCAAGGCTTTTTGTTGTCAACAGAGTTTCTCTTAAAGGACAGAACGCTTTAGGGAGAAGGGGAAAATGGAAAGGAAAAGGAAATATGGAAATTCCAATGAAGAACAAACGAGAGGGGGAACATGTGGATAAATCTAAGCTAATATTGATTGGGAAAAAATTATGTCCTGTGAGCTTTAAAATACATGGCAGCAACAGAATTAAAAAGTGGGTAAGTGCAACTAAAATATCCTAATATCCTTGCACAGTCCTGAAAATAGTATTAATTTTATGTTTGACTTTAACAAGCATAGTATCAATATTGAATTCTCCTAGGGTAATCAGTAAAAAGATTGTAAAAAAAATATGCAACTAACAAGTTAACTATAGGAAAAAAAAAACAGAATAATAAAAATCCAAAGAAGACCAGAAAAGGAAAGAAAGAAAAAGGAACACAGAAAGGGAGGGATAAGTAGAAAATGGTCAAGTTATTGATTTAAACCTAAATTTAACGTCAGTGGTTAATTATATTAAATGTGAAAAGATAAATATTCCAATGAAAATATTAATATTGTCAAATTGGACTTTAAAGTAAGTCTATGAAAGGTTGAAATTAAAAGGATAGAAAAATATGTACCACGCAAACACTAATTCAAAGAAATGTAGTGTAGGGACTTTCCTGGAGGTCCAGTGTTTAAGACTCCGGGCTTCAATGCAGACTGTCTGGGTTACAGCCCTTGTCAGGGAACTTCAGTCCCACATGCCACAGAGCTCAGCCAAAAACAAATAAATGAACAAAGAATGCTGACATGGCTATACTTACTTCAAAGTAGACTTAATGCCAAGAAGCACAGCTAGAGATAGAAGGTCCATTTCATGATGATAAAGAGTCAGTCTCTTAGGAAGAGACTGCATGTGTGTGTCAACACAGCTTTATAGTTATTTATATAAAGTAAAAACTGATAGAAATAAAAGGAAAAGTTGACAAATCCATAATTGTAGTGAGATATTTTAACATACATATCTAAATGATTTATAAGGCCAGCAGAAGAAAAAAATTTCAGTGTAAGTATGAAGTCCAAGCTGGAATCAAGATTGCTGGGAAAAATATAAATAACCTCAGATATGCAGATGACACCACCCTTATGGCAGAAAGTGAAGAGGAACTAAAAAGCCTCTTGATGAAAGTGAAAGAGGAGAGTGAAAAAGTTGGCTTAAAGCTCAACATTCAAAAAACTAAGATCATGGCATCTGGTCCCATAACTTCATGGCAAATAGATGGGGAAACAATGAAAACAGTGACAGACTTTATTTTCTTGGGCTCCAAAATCACTGCAGATGGTGACTGTAGTCATGAAATTAAAAGATGCTTGCTCCTTGGAAGAAAAGCTATTACCAACCTAGACAGCATATTAAAAAGCAGAGACATTACTTTGCCAACAAAGGTCTGTCTAGTTAAAGCTATGGTTTTTTCCAATAGTCATGTAAGGATGTGAGAGTTGGACTATAAAGAAAGCTGAGTGCTTAAAAATTGACGTTTTTGAACTGTGGTATTGGAGAAGATTCCCAAGAGTCCCTTGGACAGCAAGGAGATCCAACCAGTCAATCCTAAAGAAAATCAGTCCTGATGCTGAAGCTGATGCTGAGGCTGAAACTCCAGTACTTTTGCCCCCTGATTCGAAGAACTGACTCATTTGAAAAGACCCTGATGCTGGGAAAGGAGGAGAAGGAGACGACAGGATGAGATGGTTGGATGGCATCATTGACTCGATGGACAGGAGTTTGAACAAGCTCTGAGAGTTGTTGATGGACAGGGAGGCCTGGCGTGCTACAGTCCATGGGGTCGCAAAGAGTCAGACACAACTGAGAGACTGAACTGATAAAACATATGAACAAAATGGTAAACAGACTTGACCTAACAGCGCAACTACAGAATAGACTTTCTTTTCAATTACGTGTGAAAATTTTACCCATACTGACTATAGGAAGTAAAATAATGCCCCTCCCCCAAAGATGTCCACATCCTGATCCCCTAGGACCTGTGACTATGTTCTCATGTGGAAGAGAGAAATAAGTCTGTGGATAGAATTAATGTTGCTAATCAGATGACCTTGAGATAGAGATTAATGAGGATTATCTGGTTGAGTGCAAGGTAATCATAGGGGTCCTCAGAAATGAAAGAGGCTGAGGAGTCTCTGTCAGAAGGCAAGAAGTCTCTAGAAACTGGAAAAGGGAAAGAAATAGCCTTCTGCAGAGACTCAGGAAGGAAAACAACCCTGGGGACTCCTGGATTTTAGCCTATTGAGACCCATTTCAGACTCCTGACTCCAGAACTGTAAAAATAACAAATGTATGTCATCTTAAATCATGATTTTTCCATTAACTATGACTTGCAGCCAATGCAATTGTTAACTGATTCCAGGGTGTCCACGATCAACCATCCTAAACAACAGGGGCAGTGCATGAAAGGGTACAGCTAGAACATAGGCTGGATCTTGGGGATCGATGTGAGCTGAGTCTGAAGAAGTAGGGTAGGATCCTATCTACCTCATCTATTTATGAAACATTTACTAAGCACCTACTCTCTGCTAGGTCCTGTGTGAAACACAGCAATGCGGAGATGAACAAGACAAAGCCCTTGCTCTCAGGAAACTCACGGGGAAGGACGGAGAATTAAAGTCAAGTAGAAAACAGTGGAGAAGAGCAGTGATAGGCACGTGCCCTGGACGAGATGGGAGTACAGAGGACTCTTCTGGTTGCAAGTGACAGGATCCCAATGTGTGCAAGAGAAGACCAAAAGTGTATGGGCTAATAGAGTCAAAAGGAGGAATGGGTAGAGGCAGAATGTGGGCAGAGAGGATGCAGGGAGGTGAGGAACGGCATGGAGTGTGTGGAGAGCCATGAGAGCTAGGGTGGTTGAGCATAAGGTGATGGAGGTGCCCACACCATGGTGAGGGCCAGCCTCAAATGCCAGGCCATGCATCTGGATGTCATTTGGTAGGCAATGGGCAACTGTGGAGGGAGGGAAACAGTTGTTAAAGAGAGGAAGGAAGGGACTTCCCTGGTGGTCCAGTGGCTAAGACTCTGAGCTCCCAGTGCAGAGGACCTGGGTTTGAGCCCTCGTCGGGGAACTAGATTCTACATGCTGCAACTAAGACCTGGTGCAGCCAAAATTAATAAATATAAATTTTTTTAAAAAAAGAGAGAAATGCAGTGGTGAAATTTGGGCATTAGAAGTATCATGCTGACTGTGTTATGGAGGGTGGATCAGAGAAGGGCAAGACTGCCGTCAGGTATTCCTATTAAGAGGTTGTTGCAAAAATACAGGTGGGATGGTGGTGCTGTGTCTATGAGGAGTGCCACCTAGAAGGGGCTGTAAGCAAGACATAGGAGTTGGAATCAGAAGGCTCGTGATTGATTTCAGGTGGGTGACGGTCGTGGGAAGGGAGAAGGACAAGATTCCCTGATTTATTTTTTATTCTATTTTTTTTAATATTTATTTATTTTTGGCCATGTCAGGTCTCAGTTGCAGCTCAGGCGCTCCAGAGCATGTGAGTTCAGTAATTGTGGCCGGCAGGCTTGGTTGCCTCACAAGGCATGTAGGATCTTAGTTCCCCCATCAGAGATTGAACCTGTGTCCCCTGCACTGGTAGGCGTACAATTCTTGACAACTGGACCACCAGGGAAGTCCCAGATGCCCTGATTTCTGATGAAGGCAACTGGGGATGGGGTGATGCCATTGACCAAGGTGGGGATGCAGGAGAGGAGTTTGGAGGAAGGTGATGGATTCAGTTTACACTGAGTATAGAGGGGTTTGTGGGACATTCTGGTGGAGACAGCCAAGGGGGAGGTGGATATTTAGGCCTATAACTCCAAGCCTAATCTGGAGAGAGAAACACAGGAGCCATCAGAATCTACAGGGACATTGACAATGGAATCATTATCAGTTGGGTGGCTCTGCAGCCTTCTCTGAAGATGAGTTTAGTTGAGAGTTTTACTCCTGCAGAGGGGATGGGTCCCGTAAGATAAAGACTACAAGGGTCTATTGTATTCTGCTCTTCAGGAGGTCACTGGTAACCATGGAAGAAAGAATTTTGGTGGCAGAGTGGGAGTGGAAGCCAGATTGCAGTGGGCTGCAGAATGAATGGGAGGTGAGAAAGAGAAGACAGAAAATGTGGACCCCTTTGGGGAGAAGTTTGGATGAGAGGCGGAAGCAAGAGCTTCATCCCCCTCAAAGCCACCTTCCATCTCCTGGAGGAACTTGGCAAAGAGGATTGGGAGAATCTGGAGGCTGAGTCAGATGTTCTGTGGACCCCAGAACACACCAGGGAGGCAAGCTGGGAGTCACCAAAGGCCTAGGGAACCTCAAACTTGCAAGTCTCAAAACTAAACCTGCTGCACCTATCTTCATCTACCTATTCCAAATCCAGTCTGCCATCTTCTCCATCCAAGGAATCGTCCAAAACCCAAATCTGCCCATGTTTATGCCTTACCTACAACCCTCCAGCAGCTACTTCCCCCACTCTCACCTCACCTCCCTGAACCGGCATTCAAAACCCTACTTCCCAGAGTTCCCTGGCAGTGCAGTAGTTAGGACTCAGCACTTTTGCTACTGTGGTCTGAGTTCAATCCCCGGTCGAGGAACAAAGATCTCACAAGCTGTGCAGAGCAGCCAAAAACAAACAAACAAAAAACTCTACTTCCCTCTGCATCTTCACATCCACAGTCTTCACTACCCCCCATCCTCTACCCAGGCCTCCTGGAGCCACCAGAAGTTCCCGGTGAACTCTGCTCTCCCACCTTCATTAGCCTACTAGTCACCTTAGACTCAGTCAACACAAACACCACCTCCTTTGAGTTAGTTACTCCCTTCCTGGAGAGAACCAGGACCTTGACCACACCTCCATCAGAGCTCGGGTAGAATGAATTACTCTGTGTCTATTTGTTGACATGGCTTTCCCCACACTGGACCATGCTTTCTCTGGGACCAAAGTCCGCATCTTAATCCTCTCTGAATCATCAGAGAGGGCGAATCATCAACCTGGCTAGGGCTGAGTTCCCAGCAAGTGCCAATAAATGTGAAGTGGAGTTCCACCCAGAGTACCCATCATGGGAGGGTAAATGTTTAAAATATGAAGTACTTCACTGACCCTTTGATCCACCAATCAAAACCTTGAATCTGCAGGGTTCTCTCTCTTCCCCCCTTTCCGTTCTCCCTAATTGTACTAATACATTCAGATTAATTTCTCCTAAGGGAAAGAAAAGGCAGGCTCTGGGCAACTATATCTTTAAGTCAGATGCTACAGTGTCTCCTACGGACCAGGTTGAGGCAGCTCTATGAGGGTGTGCCACAGTGCAAGAGCCCTGGGTTCCTTCTCCAGGAACTTAATCTTGATTTTTTCTTTTACAAACTATGTAACCTCTCTGAACCTTAGTTCAGATGGATGTGGTTACGAATACTATTACTTAAAAGAACTGTGGAGAGAACCAGGTGCAATACTCATGCAAAAGCCCTACATGATGCCACTTTATATTAGACTTTTGTTCAGTTCAGTTCAGTCGCTCAGTCGTGTCCAACTCTTTGAAACCCCATGGACTGCAGCACGCCAGGCTTCCTTGTCCATCACCAACTCCTGGAGCTTACTCAAACTCATGTCCACCAAGTCAGTGATGCCATCCAACCATCTCATCCTCTGTCATACCCTTCTCCTCCTGCCTTCAATCTTTCCCAGCATCAGGGTCTTTTCAAATGAGTCAGTTCTTCGTATCAGGTGGCCAAAATATTGGAGTTTCAGCTTTAGCATCAGTCCTTCCAATGAATGTTCAGGACTGATTTCCTTTAGGATGGACTGGGTGGATCTCCTTGCTGTCCAAGGGACTCTCGAGAGTCTTCTCCAACACCACAGTTCAAAAGCATCAATTCTTTGGCGCTCAGTTTTTGTTATAGTCCAACTCTCACATCCATACATGACTACTGGAAAAAACATAGTGTTGACTAGACGGACCTTTGCTGGCAAAGTAATGTCTCTGCTTTTTAATATGCTGTCTAGGTTTGTCATAGCTTTTCTTCCAAGGAGCAAGCATCTTTTAATTTCATGACTGCGGTCACCATCTGCAGTGATTTTGGAGCCCAAGAAAATAAAGTCTGTCACTGTTTTCATTGTTTCCCCATCTATTTGCTATGAAGTTATGGGACCAGATGCCATGATCTTATTTTCTGAATGTTTAGGTTTTTTTTGTTTGTTTGTCTGCTTGTTTTTGAATGTTTAGTTTTAAGCCAACTTTTTCACTCTCCTCCTTCACTTTCATCAAGAGGCTCTTTAGTTCTTCGCTTTCTGCAGTAAGTGTGGCCTATTAGTGTCAGGACACCAACAAGTTGCATTTGCTGTTTCAAATGACTAAAAGAAACTCTCCAGATAATACCGCTCTTCTAAATTTCTCCAAAATGAGAACTTCTGTTTATGCCCGACTCCTCAGGCCCACTTAAGACAACTATAAGTGAAGCCACGCCTCCTCAATCTGTAAACCACGCTTCTTTCCGTACAATCTCCGTTGTAGGGCCCTTCAGTGTTGATTGACATCTTGGTTCACCAATAGGAAGTAAAAGTCCCATAACGTCCGGTGAGGGGGCAGGACTTCCTCGCTGTTGCTAAGACACTCTTGTTTCGCTCCTTGACAACCCTGGCGGGGGTGCGCTCGCTGAGGCCTTAGCTCCGGCCCCCTCGGGAGCAGGTGAGGCCACGGGGTGCGGCGGGCAACCGGGCGGGGAGGGCCGGCCCGAGAGGGGGTCGGGAGACATTGCGGGGCGGGCGGGGCCTCGCCCACCGCGGAGGCCCCACCTCAGCCTCCTGGCTGTTGGTCCCCAGTTCCAGATCCTCCCAACCCCCACCCTCCACCCCCCACAACCAGTTCGGGGACCTGCGAGCTCTGTCGAGAGAGTTTCGCCGTAGCTACTCTGCAGGCCCTTCAGCGTCACGTTCCCCCGTCCTCTCTAACCCGACTCCCCCTGCACCTTGATCCCCCATCGTTCGCAGAGTAACCCCCTCCTCCCGCGGCTGGGCGGGTGGTCGCCATCGCCTCCTCCCAGACCGCTTGAGTTGGACAGTTGACGACTGTCTGGGAGTCGAGGCTGGTCGTTTCCCTCTTTGGGCCTCAGTTTCCCTATTTGTAAATGAGAAGTTAGGTTGAATGATCCCTAAGGTCTCTTTGATTCTGACGTTCCAGGATGTGATTCTTTAACCCAACTGTAGACTTCCCCGAGGACGTGATCCTCATGGGAAGTTTGAAGTGTAGTGAAAAGGACTTTGTTGTTGTTCAGTCGCTCAGTCGTGTCCTCCGACTCTTTGCGACCCCATAGACTGCAGCACACCAGGCTTCCCTGTCCTTCACGTCTCCTGCAGAAAAGGACTTGGCAAACCTAATTTGGATTCCCAGCTACAGGACCCTAGCAAGTTCTCTAATCTCCCTGGAGTCCAGCTTGAGTATATACAGAATTAGGATACCATAGCACATCTCCTCGGTGGATTCTGAGAATAATATGAACCTCCTTCCTTTGTCTCATATTTCCGCGCATTTCCCTCCCCCTGAGAATCACTCTGTTTCTCCATTTCACCCTCTAATTCACATCTCCAGCTCAGGTATTTCTCCTGGGCTTCCATGGTTAGTGAGACTTTGGGGGTGGGGTTGGAATAGAGATTGCTTTATTGATGTAGTGATTGGACTTGACGGCTCCCCTCCTGCCCCTGGTAATCCATGATTCTGTGATCCCCTGCTCCTGAGGAGACACCTCCATCTGCATATCTCGCCAACAAATTAAACTCAGTAATTCAAACATCAAAGCGTCCCACATCTCTGTCTGTCCATCTGTTCTACCTGAATTCTCCTGTCTCTCTCAGTTAGATCACCATCCTTCTGGGGTATCATCTGCCCCTCTGCCCTGCTCATCCCACTTAGGCAGGATTACGTCTTTGGTTCTGCCTCTGCAAGGATCTCATAGTCTCTCTATGCCTGAAGCCATCATCCCGGTTCAAGTTTTTAATGCCTGTCACCCAGGCCGTTGCTATAGCTTCCTAACTGGTGTTCCTACCCCCAGTATCTCCTCCTGTTAACCCAGTCCACCAGAGTAGCTGTCAAAACACAGCCATGTCACCAGCTCCCAGGAGACCTCCAAAGGACTTCTCTTTCTCCACTAAAAATATCCATATTTCTTAAGCCTGGGTCTCAGGGCTCTTCTCCACATCCACAACCCATCCCATCCTCTTGCCCGGCATGCCTCCTCTCTTCTCATTTGCCAGGTTCTGTCCTCTGGCCAAATTGGACTGTTGGACTTTCCCATAAAACACTTTGAGCTTTCTGCTTCCACCTCACTGTGTGTGTTCATCACTCTACCTGGAATGTCTTCCTCACGTTGCCCATCAGTCAGGATTCCCACTCACCTTTTAAGGTCTGACTCAAATGCTGCCTCTGCCACCAAACTCTCACTGTCCTCTTCCCTGTCCTCCAGAATTCTCCTCTTTCCTCTAGTTCTGTGTCTGTCTGGTGGCATTCCTGTTCTCTGCCATGAACCATAGTTAGTTCCTTGTGTATGTTGTTCCCTCATATTAGATTGTATGCTCCTTGAAAGCAGAGACTCTCTCTTGCTTATAGCAGAGCAGTTGAAAAAGCTTAGTCCTAAAGTCATATATGGCTGAGTGCCTCCTGGCTCATTCATTTATTAGCTGGGTGGGAAGTCACTTTGCTTTGCTCAGCCTGAATGATCATCAGGTAAGTAGGGATAATAGTGTTTGTCTGATGGAGTTCTTAGGGGGAGTAAATGAGATCCTCTACATAAAACGCCCGTCCTGTTGCCTTGCTTAAGGTCAGTGCTCAATAGATGTTATTGAAGGGATTTGATAGGGCCCCCCTTCCCAGGGGACAAATAAAATACAGTTTAATTAGAGTTTATATATTTATTGGGCTTCTGCCATGTGCCAGACACTTGAAACTGCTCTGGGGGCATCTACAGGAGAGCAAAGCAAGTCCTTCATCCCCGGGAGATTGTCTGGACTCACGACGCACTGTTGAGTCGTGACTGGCTATGAGACATCACTGGTAATTAGTGATTATGAATGATTTTTTTAAAAAGTAACTCAGTGCTAATTCCAGTTTATTTTTGTGATAACATCATTCTTAGTCACTTACGTTCAAATCTGTTCTCTTGAGTGGGAATGGGGGTAGTAGGTGTGAAAGGGAGGGAGGGTGGGAAAGGGGCGGGTAAGAGACTTAGTAATCCACTGTCTGTAGTAAGCAGCTGTTCCCTTGTGATGACTGTGATAGTTTGATGCTATTTGTTGTACTTTGTATCTTGACTAAAGTGTTTGGATTGCATCCAAACTTGGGTATGTCCGTGAGGGAGTACCATGTGAGTCAGTATGGTTTATTACATCATCTTACACATAAAGAAAATGTCTTGATCTCTATCTCTCCATCTCTCCATCTTTCTTTCCTTCCCTCTCCCAGGTTTAAGGCACATCAGTTTTCACCAGACCTCAGTGAAATTAAAAAAAATAAGGGGGATGTGAAAAACAAAAACAAAAACCCTTTGTGTACATGAAAGGTAACTGTCTTTTCGAGGACTGTACTTTATCCTGCAATCATCTCTTTCTTACTCTTGAAACTTTCTTTTATAGTAGATGATGCATTTCAAACTGATGGTGAAACCTAGATGGTCCGTGTTGTTTCCTGACCTCCCTGATATCTTAGATGAATGCCTTCAAGTCCTCAGATTCCTTTCTCCTCACCTTATGAGCCTCACCTTTTGTTTGCCAGAAGGCGGAGGGTGGACTTGTCAGGGGAGGGCAGGGGGATGTTCGGGGTCTGGAGGGTGTGTGTAGCTTCACTACGGCTGGAACCAGCAGGCCTGTGTGGGCAGGAGTCTGAACCGCCGGCTGCCAAGGATGGACATTGTTTGTGTTACTGTCTTGTTTCCTTCTTACTTGGGACAGGAGAGAAAGCGCAAAAGGTAGAGAAGAATAGATAAGGATTCCGATCTTGGCTGTGTCATTGCTGGCTGTGTCCCCCCAGGCCAGCCCCCAGACCTCTCTGAGGTGCCTTGTCTGAGAACTGTGAGCGGGTGCTGCCCGCACAGGTTGTTCTGGGATGAAATGAGACAGCAGGTGTGAAAGCACCGTATCACTCCACCCCAGCCCCCCGGCCCAGCTGTGTTTGCAGAATTCCCTTATGACTCCTTCCTGGCTCAGTACCAACAGCACAGAGCGGGAGCTCAATGGGTGTTGGTCTGTTTGCCTGAGCATTTCGCTGATTAGTTGGTTGGGATTCAAAGAAGGACGCTTCCTCCCACGCCAGTAAGAAAAGCTGACACTGACTGTGAAGTAGAGTCTGTTCTTAGACCCAGTTTCCAGATAAGAAAACTGAGGCCTGGAGAGGTAAACACTTATCCGAGACAGTCTGAGGTGTGAAGCCAGACATTCCTGTGGAGGCTGTACTCACAACCATAAAGCTATGCTCCACACATGTCCTCCCATCTCTCCGATGCTGGAAAGAGGTCAAGGCAGCAAGCCGTGGTCTACGGACCAAGCTTGTTCCAGGCTTGTTTCTGCAGCACCAGAGAAGGGGGATAAACCTGGCAGGAGGGGGTGGTGAGGGGCCTGCTGGCAAACCCTTTTGGCCTTGTTTCCCAGAATTCATTCATTTTTCCTTCGTCCTTCCCATATCCCCTAACCCACTTAAGGATTGTTTCCAAACATTTCAGAAGTAAAAGAATAAATGGTGACTGAGGTCAGTGCCCACAAAAGAACAAAGGACACAGGCTTTGACAAGATGATGAGATGAGGAGCCCAGCTCGTTGCCGAGGAGAAGCCTCGCGTCAAACACGGGCAAGGCTGCGTAAGGCTCCAGAAGGGCCCTTGGGTGAGAAGGAGAATAAAGGGCAGAGAGGGAGCAAGGCTGATGCTGGCTCTGTGTACCCAAACGGGCCCCGGGGAGAGTCAAGCTCTGCTACCCAGAAGATTCGCGTGCCCTGGCCGGGAGCACACTTAAATTATTAAAGGGCTCTCTTTTAGACCTGACGCAACTGCTTCCTGGTCTGGACCTGTCAGGCACACACTCGTTTGCATGGGAGATTGATAAGGTTATTAAAACTTGAGTTGTGCTATTTTGGGTAACATTCTTTCAGCAGGGTTTTAAAATCCGAGCTGAATGACTGTAGCTGTACTATAATGATACAGTGTCATAAAAAATTCTACCTTTTTACATTTGGAGACGCCTTGTCTATAACTGTTCCTTTTCATTCTGAGTCTCATCCCTTTTGGATCCCCGGAAGTGTGTGTAGAGGTTAGGAAAAGCCATTGCAGTCATGATCCTTGATAAACGTGGCCGGATGATGTGGACGAAGTCCCGGCTGATAACATGGTGGTTGTTAGAGCAGCGTGATGCTGGGTGCAGAGGGCCCTGTGGTTTCCAAACACTCACATGCATATATACTTGGTGCTCACGACAGCTCCCTGAGAAAGAGAAAGTGGGCTCATCCCATTTCGCAAAGGAGGACACCAAGGCTCAGGAGGTTAAATTACTTGCCTCAGGCTGCAAAGCAGGGAAGAGGGCAGAACTGCTTTCGGTTTCAGAGCTGGTGCTCTAGCCTTAATGCCCTACCTCACAGTCTTGTACCTTCTCTTCTCTATCAGGTGATGTCCCACCCCCCGAAAAAAAAAAAAACTGTCCCAGTGGCTTGCCCACTTTGTTCCTGAAGAATGGGCTTTGATAACACCTCTGAAGTGTGGTTTCATCCAGGATTCCACGTGCTGAAGCAGAGCCCAAGCAGTGGTCACGGACCGTGAGGTCCCGGAGGGCAGACGTGTACACAGTGGCCTCTGAGCTCCCCTCCACACTGGCACTTGTTCGCCCAGAGGCCGGATTGAATCGGATTGAAATATTCAGGTGGAAGGGGCCTAAAGCAGCTGCTTCAGTGTCATAAGTTGTTCCCACTTGAAAGTCTCGGGAGACAGCAAAGCTTACAAAGGATGTAATCCTTCTACATAAGTGTAGCCCCCACCTTCTCTCACCCCTTGATGATGTTGGAGAGGAGGCAACAAAGTGGCCTTTACCAAAGACTGCAAGGAGGACGGGGGGAATGGGGCCTTAATAGGAACAAGAAAGGACAAGATGATTCACTGCCTTTTGTGAAATAAAGAAACTTAAGCAGAAAGTACAATGAGATCGTACTTGGTCGTTTGCCAGCTTATATGTAGAGACAAACAGACACGGCTAATATCCGGGTGGTACAAAAGCCCAGAATGGTGAGATAAGAGGAGCCGTCTGTCCGCTGGGAAACCAGAGCATACCCAGGCGATGGGGGGGAGAGGAGGCAGAGGGTGATGCCAGGCTCCCAGCTTCCCTTGAGGGAGCCGACCACATTGAGTAGTGCTGAGGATTTCTGCAGCACCAGAGAGGGGGATAAACCTGAGAGCACCGCCCGGAAAAAATGTGCCCAGAAAGCTTAAGGCTTGACCAAACAAGGACCAAGTTAGCACTGGACGGGGAGACACCGAAAGGGAAGCTCTAATGTTCCTCTCACTTCTGGGATCACGGGAGCCGTGCTAGTGGTCATGCCTCGGGGGGAAGGTTTGTGGGCACCCACCTCGTGTGCTTGCTGTGTGCAGGCCCTGTGCTGTGAGGAGGGTGTTAGGATCACCTGTGCTGGAGACCATCCCGGGTCAGCCCCAGCTCTGCCGTTCAGTAGCTGAGCGACCTTCGGAGTAGTGATGCCTCCCTTACATGCAGGACCTAACTCATGGGGTGGTTGGTGGCACAGGGCCAAGTAAATGCACATGGAGTACTTGGAACAGTGTCTGGCCTGCAGGAAACCCAACTGATGTCACCCATCATTACCTACCCGTTGGTTACTAAGCTGGGCATCTTCAGGGTTTGGGGGCTGTGCAGTGAAAATTAATTTGGAAATGTGAGCAATGCTGGAATATTATAACATTATTTGGCTGTATTTGCATACCAGCTCAGTCCTATCCAACTCTTTTCAACCCCATGGTCTGTAGCCCGCCAGGCTCCTCTTGTCTGTGGGACTCTCCAGGTAAGAACACTGGAGTGGGTTGCCATTTCCTCCTCCAGGGAATCATCTCAAGTCAGGGATCAAACCTGTAGCTCCTGCATTGAAGGCAGATTCTCTACTACTGAGCCATCAGGGACACCCATTTGTCCAATAAGGACAGTTAAAAGGGGTTTAATGATGTGGTTCATTTTCATTTATATTAGTTGTACTTCTGAGATTAAAAGTTCTTTTAGTTATAGGATAAATTGACTTGTAGGATAGAGAGAAACACTGAGTTTCAAGCACTGCTTCCAGTCATCTAGGATCCAGGCCCATCTTTTAAGGAAAAGCCCCATCTGTTTTTCCATAAGATTTGGAAAGAAAAAAGAAATCTCCGCATGTGTATTAGGCTTTATAACTTTTCCATCATATCCTTGTGTAAATCTACAGGGAGCCAGAGGGAGGGAAAGACAGTCTGCTGGGTATTTGCTGAGTGCCTACTACGTGCCTGGCATACGCCATCTCATTTGATTCTTGTAACAGCCCCACGAGGTAGACATGACCACCTTCATGTTACTGATGAGGAATCTGAGGCCCAAGACCACATAACTAGTGAGCGGAAGGACCAGGAACTAAGGCCTGAGCCTCCCAGCTCCTGGGCCAGCACGACAGGACAGGGCGGCCTGCGGGAGTGGACTAGGAGAGCCGGGCTGCCTGGCACACCACGGAGAGCGCAGAGCATCGCTGGTCACATTTCTCCTCTAGGGCCAGGACCTGTGCAAGGAAGCACTTTCTTGCCCATAAGCCCAGGACTATTGAACAGGACCTGACATTTCACTTCCTGACCACATCTGCCAGGAAGCAAGGATGATGTACATAGTGGCCTAGCAGAGAAGCCAAGTTCGTTAATTGCAAGCTGAAGGCTCTACCCTCGGCCTGGCCCGCAGTCAGTATTTGTCTTGATAATGACAGTGTGGGCTTGCAGCAGCGTATCAGCGTGTTCTTAACTGGGTCCCAGCATCTCGTGTTGACTCATCCTCCCGTCTCCAGACTTGCTGGCCATTTGGAAAAGGATGTGGAGGAGTTGAGACGGGGAGGTGTCAGATTGTTACTGAGACATTTCTAATTTGTGATGTATAGTTTTTAAGCCAACTCGTTTCTCCTGGTTTTTCCTGTTTTCTGCAGCACCCCTTGGGGAAAGACATTTTCTGCTTCCACCAAGCTGGCAGGGCCTGCTTCCTGAATCTCCTGGGTGTGTCTTAATTACCAGTCCCAGCACCTCCTGAAAACATCCCTCTCTCCTCCTGGTCACAGTGGAAGTATCATGGGAGAAACAGAAGGGAAGAAAGATGAGGCTGATTATAAACGACTGCAGACCTTCCCTCTGGTCAGGGTAAGGCCCAGGGGAGGGAGGCAGGTGGCCAGCAGGGCCCAAGAGCCTTAGAGAAAGAGGCGAGGGGGAGCTTGTCCGCTGCAGGATAGCACTGGGAGGAGGTTATGACGGGCTCTGCTGGCCAGTGTAGAGACCAAGAGGGCGCCCACAGTGATTCATTCTTTCATTCATCCATTCATTCATCCAACAATTATTTAGGCCACCTACTACATATTGGGCGCTGTTCTGGGCACTGTGGATATGGGAGTGAACAAGACAGAGGCCTGGCCCACGTGAAAAAAAGGTTTAAAGAACATAATTTCAGGTCACAAGTGCCCTGAAGAAAAAGAAAGCAAAAGTAAGGAGCTGGAGAGTAAAGATTGGCTTCTGGAAAGGGTTCTCTGATCAGAGACCTGAATAAAGTTAGGGAGCACGCCTTGTGAGAGTCTGGAGAAGATTCTCCAGGCAGGGGGAGCAGCAGGTATGGAAAGCCCGAGCAGGCTCAGCGTCTGGGAGGCGCCGGAGGAAGGCCAGTGTGGCTGGAATGAGCGCCAAGGGAGGGGGCACAGGATGTGAGTGTCAGCCTGCCAGGCCTGGGGGCCACAGCAAGCAATGGGGATCCCATCCTGACTTCAAAGGGAAACAGTAAAGAGCCTTCAGCAGAGGAGTAGGAGTCCAGTGATTTTAATGTTTCTGAAAGAGCCCTCCAGCTGTTGGATGGAGAGTGGATTTTAGGGAACCCGAGTGGGGAGGGAGACCAACCAGGATGCTATTGCAGAGGCCCAGGGAGAGAGAGGGTGGCCGGGTCCAGGTCACGGAGCAGAGATGGCAAGACACGGTAGGGTTCTCGACAGATGTTGAAGGTAGAGCAGTAGAATTCAGCAGTGCACTGGATGCTGGGTGTGAGGGAAAGCAGGCCAAGGGTGACTGCCAGGGTTGGTTTTGTCTTGAGTGTGGGAGAGAAAACAGTGTCGGTTACCAAAAGGAGGAAGACGGAGGACTAGATCTGTGGGGGAACATCAAGCGTTATCTTTCAGACCTCTGAAGCCGGCAAGTAGGCAGTTGGACATAGGAATCTGGAGCCCCAAAAAAGAAGTTAAAGTAAGGGTGAACGTGTGGGAACCCTGCCCGCACAGAAGGTGTCTGCATCCACAGAGCAGGGCAGGGCCCCTGGAGAGCAGGAGCTGGAGAAGGGGCGAGGGTGGAGACGGAGCCCAGGGAGGAGGGCACCCAGAGAGGGCCAGGAAGAACAGCAGGGGGCCCTCAGCGTGGCCACACCATCTCTTCAGGATCTGAGCGAGTCAGCTGTGCCCTGAGGCTGCTGGTAAAGCGTCTCCGCGGCCGGCGTGCTCCTGCCTGGGCCAGCCGCCTTCCCCTGTCTGTCGCTGGGATGCATTGGTTACACAGGGGCCCCGGGCGTAAGAGCCCATGAGGTCTCGCTCGGTTCCGTCAGCAGACGGGTCATCTCTCTGGGCTCTGCCCGTGCCTTAAGCTTGGGACGAGAGGCCAGCCCAGAAGACGGGTCACAGGCTGAGGCTCTGTCTGTCTGTCCCCGCCCCGCCTCCAGCACTCGGACATGCCGGAGGAGATGCGAGTGGAGACCATGGAGCTGTGCGTCACGGCCTGTGAGAAGTTCTCCAACAACAATGAGGTATTGCCATCAGTGCGGCCCCTCATGCCTTGGGTGACCCCTGTGGCCCCAGTCCCCGCAGCCAGCTACAGAGAGTGCTGCTGGGGCCAGGCTAAATCCTTCCTGGGAAGCATTCAGAGCGTGGGGAAGGCTGGTGAGGGCAGAAGCTGCTGCTATCTCAGGCACTGACCCAGTGCTAGAGGGAGAAGAGCCGGGGGGCTTTCTGTGACGCCCCTGTTCATGTGCCCCGTCTCAGGTGGGCTGCAAAATAGGTTACCTTTCCCCTTGGCTCCATCCCAGTGGAGAACAGAGGCCCGCCCAGGCATTCATTCATGTATCCATTCATCCATTCAGAAAAGATGTTAAACACCATCCCTGTGCCAGGCACTGTCCTAGGTGCTGGCAATACAACAGGTAGGCATCGACCCAGGAAAAGTCATTCATCAGTCTGCTGGTGAGCAAGAATTTGAAAGTCAGTGTGGTGGCAGCCGGTGGGGGAGGCCGACCCTGGCCACTGTGCATCCCGGCTTGAGGCCAGGCAGGCCCAAGCTCAGATCTCAGTCTCCAGCCCCTTCCTAGCTCTTTAACCTTGGACAGGCCAGTTCTCACCGCCCGGCCCCAGTTTCCCGGTCTGTGCCGGAGGCAAGGATGCTGCCTCCTCGCTGGGTGGTCCTGAGGACAGACGTCCTGAAGTGATGTGGGTGAGGCGCCAGCAAGTGCCAGAGCCTGGGGGTGGGGGACGCCGCTGCCGCAGCTGAGAAAGACAGGAGACAGGGCCGGCTTTTCTCCCAGAGCCCACCAGACGCGCCCGGGAAGGCCTCTGTGCGCTCTGAAGGTAGCCCTGAGCCCGCACCATGACGATGGCGATCGCTGCATCCGCAGCACGCACTCAGGGGCGCTGGCTCATTGAGGGCTGACAGCAGCCTTGTGGGTGCGGGCACCGGGGGCACAGCCCGAGCTCCAGCCGAGGGCCCCGTTTCAGGCCCGACGCCCCGCCCTGCCGCCTCACCCGTGTCTTCCGACGGCTGAGGTAGAATGTCCTGTTCGCAGTAGCTCTGTCACAACCCCTGGTTAGGAGGGGCGGAAACCCTGTCTGAAGGTTCCAGAGCCGAACAGCAGTCCCGAGGCTACAAGGCCTCTCTCCTGACGAGACATCTGCTTCCCCCCCGCGAGGGCGCTGACTCAAGCCCCCTCTCTCCCCCAAGCTGCCCCCCACCCGCCTGCCCCCGACGAGCCTGGTCTCGTTGCAGAGCGCTGCCAAGATGATCAAAGAGACCATGGACAAGAAGTTCGGCTCCTCCTGGCACGTGGTGATCGGCGAAGGCTTCGGCTTTGAGATCACACACGAGGTGAAGAACCTCCTCTACCTGTACTTCGGGGGGACCCTGGCTGTGTGTGTCTGGAAGTGCTCCTGACACGCTGTCCCCCCGCCCTTCCCCGCCCCGCCACCCCACCCCGCTGTTCCCCTGGGAGGGGGGAGCAGCCACGGGCAGGTCCTGACCTTCCAGAGGAAAGCTAGGGTCTTTCCTTCCTTGTCCTGTGTTCCATGTCCTGAGCCGCGCCCCGCGTGTGCATCCGCAACCATCTCACGCTGAGTCCCCGGGGGCAGCAGGGGGGGCTAGGGGGTGTGACAGGGTCGAAGGAGGGGCGGGGGGTGGCATTTTTTTCTCACAGGGACCTGCCAGCCCCCCACGCCTGCCCACACCCAGCACTGTGGGCAGGCGTCTGCCTGTCCTTGTCTTGTCGGGGTGTGTGCAGATGGCCTCGAGGGAGCCTCTTCTCTTAGGGGGTCACTTAGGGCTTCTCGACTTCTGGAGAAGCAGTGACCCCACTCCCACCCCCAGAAGCCCCTTTCCCCACCTGGCCCTGGGCTGAATAAGCCGCCGCGTCTCGCCGGGCCCACAGCTCCACGGCCCCCTGGTTTTGGCACGAGGACCAAGCAGCCCGTCCCCACCCCCGCTCCGTCCCGGCCCTCCCCCCACCTTGCCTCCATGTGTGCAGTTGGTAACCAGTGGCTGAGGGTGCGGGAACCACGCCTGCGCGGTTTCTGGAAGTGTCACTGACCTCCGGTGAGACGCCTGGGCCAGGAGCGCCCTCGCCGCGAGGCCTGCTTTAGCAGGGAAACCTGGCCTGCCACTTACTTCTCATCAGGGACCGCATGCTGATTTGTACTTCTTATCTCTGCTGGGTTTTCTATATTCTTTTTGAGTGTGGGGAGAAGGGTTTTAGTAGAAGGGTGAATCCTATTTTACACAGCGGTCTTATTTATATATAAATGTCTTGGATTTTACAATTAAAATAACCAAAAACTGACCTTGATCTTATAGTCTCCTGGAGGAAGGGAGCCAGGCTCAGTATTGCCAGGCTGTGTGGGGGTCCCAGGAACCTGGTGAGGCTGCTGGCGTCTCAGTGCCCAGGCCGTGCCCCTCCCTGTTCCCTCACGTTGCGGGCCCCGGGGACACTGACTCGGGCACCCTCGTGGCCAGACTGGGCCACTGTAAAGATGCTTTCAGTCTCACATCGTGTCGTTCCGTTCAGAGATGTTTCTTCAAGCAGCGATGAGGGCCAGGTCCCCCAGGAGTGGGGACACCAAGACAGAGAAGCCACAGACCCCCCTCAGTGAGTTCGCGGTCTGTGGAGGAGGAACGCAGGAACCCAGTTATTTCAACTGGACGTGAAAAGTGATGAAATAAAAGAAGGGTCTTCCCTGCTGGCCCAGCAGTTAAGAATCCACGTGCCAGTGCAGGGGACGTGGATTCAATCCCTGGCCTAGGAAGATCGCACATCCCGCGGGGCAGCTAAGCCTGTGCAACACAGCTGCTGAGCCTGCGCTCTGTGAAGCCCGTGGTCTGCAAGGAGAGGAGCCAGCTCCATGGCTAGAGAGCAGCCCCCGCTCGCCGCAGCCAGAGAAAGCCCGTGCGCGGCGAGGAGGACCCGGGGCCACCAAAAATAAGTTTTTGAAAAAGAGAGGACGTGGCATGGTGGGGGTGGACGGAAGGCCTCCACGCCCAGCCTAGGGAGTGTCGGGGAGCCCCTGGCGGGTGGGCCCTGAAAGCCAGCTCTCAAGGGAGAGAGGGCTTTTCCCCAGGGAGGAGGTGTTCCGGGCCAAGTGACGCTAGGAGTAGATACGTGGCATGAGGGGCCGCCCTGCAGACCTGAGAAGCCCCCTCCCCCCAATCTGAGTCTCACCCCTAGAAATGCCGAGTCTGGGCAGACCTGGGCCAGCCTGCCCTGCCCCCAGCCTACCCTCCCTTCCTGAGATGGCTCACCAGAACGTCCAGGCCTGGCAGCCCTGGGCGCTGGCCCGGTCAGGGCCTCCTATGGCTTCGAGTCCCATTTTGTCACAGAATCTGTCGACTGCTCTGCTGGACGGCATCCCCTCCTTCCTCTAAGTTCTACCCAGAGACCCCGGCGGCTGAGTAGGGAGGGGAGCACAGCAGACCACTGGTGAATTTCACAAGTGTTCGCCGAGTTGCTGCTGCCACGTGGGGTCCTGAGAAAGAGGAGGTGGTCAGGGTCACTGCCCCAAGGCTGGTTATCTAGACCTCACTGTGGTCATCTAGACCTAACAGGTCATCTGACCCTCTGGGACTTGTGGGATGGGGGTTGAGGGGTGGGGGCAACTCCCTTACCTTGGACCTGCGCTGATCCGAGCCCTGGGCCACACCAGGTGCTGTGGGGGGCGGTTGGCAGGGCGTGCAGATGGGAATACAAGGAGGTGGGCGCTGAGGCCTGGAATAGCTACAGTTTATTAAGTGCTGCCTTGGCAGCTGTTCTCACCTCTAATCTGCCACACGTAGGTGCCACGAAGTAAGCCAGGCTCAGCCCGAATCCCAAGTGGTAGGGTGGCATCCGGGGAGTGTGGGCTCTGAGGCCCACAGGCCTGACTCCGGCCCAGCCCTGCTCTTCCTAACCTCGCTAGCCTCAGTGGCTTTGTCTGTAAAATGGGGATGAAACGCAGCAGCTCCTGAGGTTGCTGCGAGCCTCAGGCCTGCCCCCGGAGCAGATGGTGCCCCCCCATGCACACTGTGTCCTTGGGGGCGCTGCTGTCTCCCCACCTTGGAGATGGGAACCCGTCTGACACCCAGCTGCCGCAAGGCAGGGTGGAAAGTCAGCACGATGCTGCTGACCTTGGTGGCTTTCCTTCTCTCCCCGCTGGGACCAATGCCAGCCGTGGTCACCCTGACCATCCTCCCAGGCCCCACCCCGATCATGGCCAGAGATTCAATAAGCATTTACTGACAGGTACTGAAAAGGAGAGGGTCGTGACCATTGAGCGACACACCGGGACACCCCAGCCTTGGCAGCAGGCGGCTGGCAGTCCATTGAGGAAGGCAGACCCAGGGATGGAAAAGCGGGACGCACTTATCCATCCGTCATCTGCTAGAGGGAGAGGGAGGGTGGGGTTCAGGGGAATGTAGGGTTCAGGGAAGGAGGCGCTGTCACTGCCCCCGGGGCGCTGGGGAAGGTGTCACAGAGGAGGTGGCATTGAACTAGGCTGTGGCTTCCCCAGGGGAGGGATGAGATGGGGAGGGGGAGATACCTGGGGAGGGCAGCCTCAGGTGAGGGGGGCCAGCATGTGCAGAACAGCCGTGTCCGAGGGAGCCGCCGAGATGGATGTTGAGAGTGGTGGCGGATGTGCGAGTGGAGTTCCCAAGAGGGCGGAGGGAGGAAGAGGTTGAGGACAAGGAGACTCTAGCCGCTCAGTGTCCCCCACTTGGGAGGTGCTTAGGCTCGCTCCCTTATGACGTGGTGTCCTGTATCCTCAACAGACCTCCAAGATGGTCATCACTGTCCCCATTTACAGATGAAGAAACTGAGGCTGGGTGGGTGAGAGATCTTGCTTGGGTCCAGCTAGGAAGCAGCTCCAGCTGGGACCCAGACCGCCGCCTGCTGGCCTCACCAGCCCTGCTCATCGGGGCACCAGCTGAGTTCCCAGGCCCACTTTCTTTACCTCCTGCCCCGTAGAGGGCTGGGGTCCCACAGCATGTTGACACCTCCATCCAGCCGCTCTCTCCCGCCGGCCATCAACCCCCACCTCCCTCTGTTCAGACTGCCACAGCCCCAGACACTCAGTGACCACAGCCCTGCCGCCACCGTCTGCCCAGGCCCCTCTGGTGCCATCCATGTGTGGGCAGTGGGGACTCGCCAGACACCTCAGTCCCCTCTGCTGGCTCAGCGTAGGGGAAGTCGGGCAGCATTTTCTGGACACATCTAGGGGGCCACATCATAGGCCCCCCACCCTCGGGGCCCCGGCCTTCTGCCTGGGAGGGCAGCGAGTGCTGGCCAGATGAGAGAACCGAACACTGGTCCTCTCCGCCAGGACTTGCACAGAGCCTAGAAGCACGGGCCTCCCCAAGATTGGGGGTGGGAGCGGGGCAAGGGGCACCGAGGCAGTCAGTGTGAGCAGATGAAGGGCAGGGGCTGGGTAGCAGGGCCCCACGGCAATCAAGACGCCCGTGGAGAAATCTTCTGGTGAATATTTAATGCTGTCTCGGAAGTGGTGCAGAGAGGCTCCAGGGTCCTGCTTAACCTACTTCCTGCTTCTCCCAAGAACAGAGCCTTTGGGGCAGGCAGGCGGTGTCCCCTGGGTGGTGGGGGTCCCCAGCCAGCATCTCACCCACCCCCAGCAGGTCTGACACAGCTGCAGGAGCAGGGCTTGTTAGTTCCCTGAGAAGAAGGAGCAGGGAACATCAATAATGTCCTTCAGATCCTCCCCCAAGTCTGGGAGGGGAATTGTTCAATTTTAGCCACAAGCCACCACCCTGTTCTATTTTCCTTTTGTTCTCCCCATCTCATATTTAAAGTAACCGCCTCCCACTGCCAGCTGCTGTCTTCAATCCTTAGGAAGGCGGGGCGGGGGCGGGGTAGAAAGGGAGCAAGCTTAGGAGGTAGAGGATCTGAATTAGTACTCATAATATTTCCAAACTATTCTGGGTCCGAAGCGTGCCAGGCACTGCCCTAAGCATTTTCCAAACTGTCCCATTTAGTTGGTATGTCCATCCTGTGAAGAGATACTATTGTGTACGTGCTAAGTTGCTTTCTAGTGTCCAACTCTTTGCAACCCTATGGACTGTAACCCGCCAGGCTCCTCTGTTCATGGAATTCTCTGGGCACGAATACCAGAGTGGGTTGCCAATTCCTCCTCCAGGGTATCTTCCCGACCCAGGGATCAAACCTGTGTCCCTTATGTCTCCTGCATTGGCAAGCAGGTTCTTTACCATTAGCGCCACCTGGGAAGCATTTTCCAAACTGTCTCCTGTAGTTCAAACATCCACCCTGTGAGGAGATACTGTCATCGCTCCTTTTACAGATGAGGCATCAAGGCCCAGAGAGGTTAAGCTCCAGGTCACGGGACCAGAATTCACCGCAGGCCCACAGGGCACCAGAGCCCAGCTCTCCAAGGTCTGCACGCCACGGGACAGCCACTTGGCTTCTCGGCTGCAAAATAGGGTTTTCTCACCTGCAAAATAGGGTTTCCTGCTCCTGCCCTGCCTCTTCTCCTTGGTAGGGCACCACGGAGATAGTGGTCATGAAAGTGGAAATGCCTGAAGGTGGGAAGTGCTGATCAGGAATTGGGGTCAGGACCAGTCTGGGGAGCCCCTGCAACCCCTAGGAGATGGACTCTGGAAGCCAGGGGGCTCAGCGGGCCAGGTAGGTAGTTGCCTCCAAGGCCCTGTTGTCATCTGGGCTCCGCAGGGTCACAGCGTGAGACACAGGGTGACCACACGTGCGTCCAGTGACTGAGGATCCCGAACAGGCAGGACCAGATGCTGTCCTTCCACCCTGAGCTGGGAAGGACTGTCCCAATAGCAGGAACTTGTGAGGACTCTGCTGTTGCCGAGCACTCTCCAAGCCATGTCTGTCCTTCGAGCTTCAGAATGGCCCAGGGAAGTGAGCCAGGCAGATTCTATTACGGTCTCTGCCCCAACAGTGAGGAGATGGCGGCATAGAGAACTTGGGATGTGCTGGGATGGGGGCTGGCCTGGGGCAGAGGTTTTTCCTCTACACACCAGTAGTCTCAGACACGTGGGAAGGGTGCTGCCAGCTCCTCTGGGACGCCTCCCCCCACTGCAGCCCCTGGACACTCCAGGTCACTTTGTGTCCCCACTGTGCCTCATCATCGTATCTACACCAGCTATGTTTTATTGACTTGGTGGAGACTATGTCTTATCTCTCTAGCATAGGACCTGCTATGTATCAGAGGTGCATTGTGACTAGTGAGCAAATAAATAAGGCTGGTTAGAGGGATGAAGAGATGGATGGATGATGGATGGTTGGATTGATGGAAGATGGATGGATGAATGGATGAG